TACCTATACTCTCTGAATTAATACAAAACTTGGAGCAGTCATATAAAATAAAGACTTTAATTTTGATCAAAAATAGATAAGCTACATATTCTAAGGTATATGTTCTTATAGCCTTGATAGGATAATCAATGCAGAGAATCAATTCAGTTAATATGTAAATATTTTACAGTTGTGCAATTGACGTGGATTTATGTTTGACCTTATCTCTCTTTTCTTGGAGTTAAACATACTTATATAATTTAACTTAATTAATCTCATAGAGTTGCACTCTTTCAAGAAAATAGTTGATTGTACATGTATTTGACTATATCTGTTAACTCGACTGTTTTGTCTGGAGTGGGTGCAGGCAAAGTTATATATTGTGCATGTGTCACATGTCTTGACTTCCAACGTGGGACTGTAGTCACTGCAGTCACTGCAACTAATCCTTTTTTTTGGCATTTGGTGCAGGGCATATAATTGAAATACTGTTACAAAGATTTAGAAAAAGAAAAGTAAAAATCTAGGAAAATGAATCAATGGACCTTTAATTTGAAGACAGAATGGTGGAAACTTTAGAATGTGATCTTATCCCTTTTTCAGTTCAGACCCTAGTTTGACGAAGGGAATGGGCAACCCCACAAGGGTTTGAATATGTTATGCACTGAATGTCATTTTTTGGTGAGAAAGAATGGGAGCCACACGGAAGGGAGAGGGAAGGGAGGTTAGAGTTTTATCATTGTTTCTTTAAGTCCTATTTTATTTTCAGTGCCATTTTCCAGGGTGTAAGTTCAAGGGGAGGAAGTTATTCTATATTAAGAAATATTGGTGATGGGAAATACTTTTAGAGATTATGATGTTTGCATACTTTGAGAATGGGAATATTTAAGTTGCAGAGAAAGCCTGTTACATACATTCATTAAAATCTTTTCACTAGTTTTCCGTTTAGAAGACAGTTGTGAATTACCAAAAGATTTTGGAATAGTTCATATCTACTTATGACTTTTTATTCCTGCATATCAGATCTCCTTGTCCTTGTAGGTCCACGGATGACAAAATTGTGAATCTTGAGTGTTGTTGCATTAGATATAGATATTAAGATGTTTATGCCTACCAAGGATGGCTGATTCCGAACTTTGGATTTCCCCAAACTTCATTTGAGAAGAGCTAGATACCTGTTTTATTTCAGATATCTAGGAGGCGTACAGTGTGTTTTAAGGGTCATTTTCATGGATTGAGGCACCTGAATTCTGCCCCCATGTTTTTGTGGCTATACATCCAAGTATGTAAAAGTACAGATGAGCTCTGGTAAGAGAGTGCTCGTTAATTTACCTGTGTGCAACACATCTTTTGGAAAGAATGTTTTATGGTTTTGAGATAGTAGATTTTAGAGAGAAGCTTTTATTGGTGGCAGTAGCTTGAAAAATAGAAATGTATTAGGAGTTTAAAGGAATAAGAATAATTTTTATGTTGATGTTTTCATTACTTTGTCTCCTGCTTCGATTTTTCTTGTTCTCCTCCCTCTTCTTTCTGTTCTCTTCTTCTATTCATTCTCTGTGCTGGTGGGAATAGCCTTAATCTTTGAGGAAATTTTCAGTACATGGACAAGATCTAACATCAAAAAGTGTTCATGAGACTTGAAATCTAACTTAATGATTCTAGCTACTGGAAAAGATCAAAGGGATCTGGCACTGGCACTGTGTAGGCTTACAGAGGAACACAGGAGTAATGGTGCTATGTATGTTTTGAGGGCAGAGATTCCTGATAACAAAAGTGCAAGGTGTAAAAATTCCTGTTGGCAAGTAGAAAAATCCTGGCTTGTTTTCAAGTGAAAGAGTGTATGCAATTATGATCTGTGCAAACAAAAAAACTGTGACAAAAGCTTCAGACTCCTCTAACATTTTAGAATAAGTGGTAAAATATTTAATATTCTGCACTGTTAGAATGCATTGTCTGTCACTGTTGATCCGACACATTGTCTGCAGCCTCTTGTTGGTTTTAGTAAACAGATATCGATCAGAGTTTGTTTTTAATGAATGATGAGAACTGGCATTGTTCTTGGCAGAGTTTTGAGCAAATAGAGTTCAAAAAAAGACATAAGAAGGTAAACTGAAGACAGGTAGTCTGGAAGAAGCAGAATGTAGTCATTCTACTTGGGGTCTTTCAGTTGGTCTGTTGAGAAAATGGAGATTTGGGATTTTTCTGACCTGGCGATACACTTCTTTTAAGCAATTATTAGTTTTTGATCTTTGAAAGGAGGGGAGAAATCATTGCATAAATATGGGACTACACAATCCAGTGAAACACAAAGAAGTTCTTGTAACCAAAGGAAATAAGCTGTATGTGTATATGTAGACAGGGTTCAAGTATCTGGAGTCTCTTCAGCCCTTTTCTGTCTGGAAAAAATATTTAAATTACAGCAGTGTTAAAAATACATTCTGTGTGTTTTATCTAATAAATCATTATTTCTATCAGTTACTACAACTTCTAATTTCATCTGAATGAAGAGTCTTTTGGAAAGAAAGCAGAAGAAATTAGTCTGTGGTTTTCTGATTTAGCTTCAGAATCTCTCTCCATTCTCTGACCTTGAAAGATAAATACCTGAGCTGCACACCTGAAAGGTTCAGGCTTGTTGATCCACAAGGTCAATATTTGTTTAATTTCATATGGTAGAATGTATTAAATAGATTTTTTTGTAATTTCTTTTCAAACTGTAATTTGCCTTCCATGCTTTTTATAAAGTCAAGGAAGATCATTGCCTAATCCAGGGACTGAAGGATGTATGGAGAGTGCTCAAGGAATGCGTCACTGTTATATAATAATGGAAGCTCTTGTCCTCACATAACTGCAGTGTTGGAAAGTGTATAGTGAATGAGACAGAGAATTGTGGGAGGAGAAAAGATTAATTTATAAGAGAGATATTTTGAATTGTAGGGTCAAATTATATACTGGCTTAAAACAGCATGTTCCTATAAAATGCTGAGAAAATAATTTTAAATGCAGGTTTTCAAAGTGTCGGCTTTTGGACAATGTGTTTTATTTAATGGTGCAAAACTAAAAACTGATTGTAAGATTTTCAAAAATACCAAGGGTTTGCAGCTGCATTTGAAGTCATCATATATATACTATTATGTAAAGATTCTAGATCCTGTTGAAAAAAAATACCAAAATTTCAAACTACACACTTAGAATTAGTGTGCAGTATTACAATTTTGATTTTACACTATTCTGATCTCAGTTCTACGTGTGAAGAAATATTAACCATGATCAGTACCCGAAGGCAAGATGTTGGTTGTAATCTGATCATGTGAAGGGCTCAGATTTCCTTTATTTACTTCAACAGAAAAATTCACAATGAAGAAATAACTTAAAAGTTCGCAGTTAGTTTGTTTGGAAGTCATATACGGAGAGGAATATAAAGATTAGTGGTATATTCAGTCTTCTTTGTCCAGTTGTCAGAAAGATCAAATTTACGGTGTTTAGTTCTATGTATGTGACTTAGGAGCTTTGAATTATTGTCTGAGAGTGTTTCCTTCTCACAGCTGACCATACAGAGCTGTAAGGCTGTAATTTTATGGGATCTAAATTAAAAGTCCTGGCCTACATAGTGAAAAAGTATGAAAATGCTTTGATTCCCTGCCCTTCCCACTCCTCCAGCTTTGAATTTCTATGTTGGAAAACTAGTGTGGATTCTCTTGATTAAAGACAATATTATGATTAAGATGCATGGTAGAGTGGAATTGCAACTGCATGAGAAATTTTTATTTTCACATTTTTTATTTCTTTGGAATATACCTGCTTGTTTTTGTGGGATTGTTTGTTTACTTATTTGTTTGTTTTGTTTTGGTACTGGAACATTTCTTTGTATAAAATTCCTAACATGCTGAAGAGGCAAAACCATGCTTGAAGACATTTTACTGTGTGTTGAATGTTCAGTTTTCCTTTTGTATAGGAAAAGTTTTGGAAAGATTTTAGTATTTCTTATCATCCATTTATTTAGTTCTTGTTTAGTCACTGAATCCTGTTTATAGAGATATTCCCTGTGGTATCATATAGTGAAGGAGATGTGGAGCTATTTTGATGAGCTTTAATTTTCTGTGCAACCCTAAGAATCCACCTAAATTACAAGCCTGCACTTCCTGTTAAGTTAGGTGAGAGTATTCTCTTTAGAGACATTCAGAATATCTATTTAGGAGCATTTTTGGTTTTTTTTAACACACAGGGAAAGTAGATCCTAACTTAATATTTAAGACCAATACCTGCAATTAGAGGATATAAATATTTCTGTGAGTATATGTCTCTGTTCTTGAGTTTGGTTTAAAACATCACCTTGATCACTCAAGTTAAAGCATGTATTTCAGATGGAATGTTTTCCTAAATGCAGTGGACAGATGTTAATCAATACTAAACAGGCCTACTGTATGTATTATCTACTTATTTCTTTAAGCAAGTCCTAGTAAAGTTCACTCAAGAGTAAAATTCCCTAGCTTTCCTTCCTTAGTTTTTAGAGTTACATTGTCTGCAGGTCTTGATATCACTGTAGTTTAATAAATGTAGTGGAGATTTTCCTTTAATCTATTAGTTTAGGATATTTCGTTTTAAATGGCATGTTACATGTTACAAATTCACCTTGAACTATGATAGGCAGTTCAGTTGTAAATAAAAATAAAAAAATAGATTGTAGTTTACATAATCAAAGCACCTTCCTTTGCATTTATAGCTGAATGTATTCCTGAAAATGTTTTAACATGATATTGTGTGCAAAGAATTGAAAGTCAGTTATGGAACATTACCAATTTAATTTTGCAACTATAAGTTTCCTATACTTGGCATTCCCAATTTTTAATCCTAAATGCAAACAAGTCCAGAGTACAATTTAATGTAAACATAAACAAATATTAAAGAAAATCCTTTTAACTCAAAGTGGGAACTTTCCCCAGCCCATTTAATACAGATTTTAGAACTTTAGGGTCGTTGTTTTACAACATGTTGCACTCAGTTGTGCAAACTTATCTTTTTAGGGTCAAAGAAGAGCAAAAACCACAGTCGACACAGTAAGTAAAATATCTGAAAGATGCAATAGGCTTGACTTTTCTACCTTTGCCATGTTCTGCTCTCTGCACCTTTGATGGTATTAGCTTTCACTGATACCTGATAGGCTGCAGGTAGTTTGTCATCTGCTTCCTGACTGGCTTGTAAGAGAGCTGCCTGCAGCTTCTTACTCCATCCACATGTTAGCTGGATGTAGGTTCTTGCTGCCTGCTTGTGAACTGGTGAACTGTAAAACTTTACTTCCCTTACATCCTTAGTGGCTGACTTAGTTCTGCAGCTAACATTCCCATTGGCTCTAGCTTTTCCGCCTGTGTATTTCTAATAGTGTTGAATAAGAAAACATTTAAACTAGTGTGGTTTTGTTGGTTATTCAGTCACATTATTTGCTTGTTTAAACAGGTGGTTTCCCTTTAGTGGGATCACTGAGCTGGTAAATAACGTTCTCCAACCACAGCAAAAACAGCAAAATGAAAAGGAGCCCCAGACGTAAGTAAGCTGCTCTCTGTAGACTAAGTAATGTCTGTATAGCATTAGAACATACTGGAGAGTATGTTTGAAGTAATTGCCATTTAGAACACTCAGCTGAGGGCATTTTATAAGGTGAACACCATTTGCTTTCCAACCTTCATTTGCAAAGGGAAAACCGAAAATCAGGTTTTACTCTCCTTGTCAGTAACATAAGAGATTACATCAGAGTACACCTGAAGGAGTTATTGCTGCTTCGTTTGTCTTTTTTTTCTGCAAATGTTCCATATATAAAACTCCCAGTGAAGTGATGTGTTTACTGTGCATGAAGAGCTGGAATGACAAGACGTAGTATTATGTATAGCATGTCTATGCACATGCATGGTGTTTGTGATATTGTTTATGCATAGAATGCTATATGAATATACATAATATGTATGAAGAAATTTCCAAGGACCAGGAAAATGTCCTTTCATTTTTTTTCATGCTTTTAAAATATCTGTAAAGTTTCAGAACTTTAGCAGATATAAGGTGAAATCTTGGGTCAGTTAAGAGGCCAGTATTTCATCCACAGACCTTGTATTGTTAAGTCATTACTTTTTTTGCTTTTGAAAATTTTAAGATTTAACAGAAACTGGCAAAGCTAGGACATTCAGTCTTAGAGTAGAACTTAAAGCACTGAGCTGAAAATATTCCTTTCATAAAGACAACCCAAAAAACATTTATTATTCTAAATTTTCAAATTCTTAAAATGTTACTTCTGATATTATTTAAGCTTTAAACAGTTAAGTTGCTGTTTTTCCTTTCTTCTAAAGGTGAATGCCTTGTAAGTTCACATGATAAAAGAAATGTTTGCTTTTGAACTTGGGCACAATTGGTTTAAAGCTTACATAAAACTTGTTAATTATTTTCCAAGCAGAATCAGTTTTAGTTTGTTTTTTAATATGTATATTTAAGTGGACCTTCATACTTGTGGGTCATGAAAACTATGATATTGTCGTGGGTTAAAAAGGGTTTCCCCCTGGAGTTGGAAAGTGGTTTATTGGAAATTGGATTTTTGGGGCTCCCAAACCGTGACAGATATGCTTTTTGAATACACAGTAAGAAATTGTCAAAAATTAAAATGGAAAAATAGGACTCAAAATTGATATTCTGTAAAACAGTGTATTATTCTGAGCTCTGTTTCTGATATTCTCATGTAAGTTCTTATAAAATTGTATATAATATGGATAGTGAATATTTTCTTTATTGGTTATTGTTAGATACTGACAATATTGCATTTTGTTCACAACACCTCAGTACCTGCTTTGTATTCCCAGTTTCCTTAACTCAGCAAAGTTTGTTCTACTTGTACATATGAAGCATATGGCTTTCAAGAAACCAAAAATACTATAAAGGCAGTGTAAACAGTTACGTTACAGATGACAAAAACTATTTATAAATGGTTACTTTTATTATGGAAGAATTTTTTTTGAACAGTGATCTCTTTGGCAACTGGCTTTTTTCAGTGTTTTTATTATGTAATTAACAAATTAACTAATTTGTGTACTCAATGAACTTGCAGATAGCATAAGACTGGGAGAAGAGTAACATCTAATGGCAGGACTATATTAAAAATTATCCTTAAAAACCAAAGCTATGGTTATGATGTGATGATGCCATTCAAAAGCATAAATGCAAAGTGGTGTAGTTATGTAGGGGTGGTTTATGTGGTTGACACAGGATTAAGGAAAATGGTGTAGGGAGATATTCTTTGGCAGAGAATCAGAGAGCCATTATAGTATGTAAGTTGAACTGTAGCCAGTATTGTTAAAGAGATTAATGTCATACAGGAATGTGCAGACAGTAGCCAGGAAGCACCATGCAGAAGTTGGCACACTGCTAAGCTTTGCTAAGATCTCACCTGGAATGGCATGCCCTTCTTTGGGAAACATTCTTCAAAAGTTATGTGGAGAAGATAAAATTCAGTGAAGAGTAATAAGAATGAGTAATTAAATGTCTATAAACATATGTGTTAAGAAAGAATCAAACACATGAGGTGATTGAGCCTCCTGAAGAGGAAATCCCAGGGGATGAAGGATGGAGAAATCTTTAATTACGCAGAATGTTGCTGAAACAGGAAAGGAAATAATGTCTTCTCCATGCTTCTGGTGGTGCAGGAGAAAGGAGTAGGCTGAAGTTGTCTTAGGGAGAATTGAGCTTGATAGGGAAAACCTTTCATGGAAAGAAAACTTAAAATGCTTGCTTAAAAAGTTTGTCTTGTGTGGAAGCCGTGAAAATCTTAAGGAGCACATTTGGCAAATCTGCTAGAAGAGAGAAAAGTGTATCTGGTCCTATGCTAGGACAAGAGAATGGACTAAGTGACTTTTGAATGTGTCTTAGAAAGACACTTTTGAAAGACACTTTTGAAAGTGTCTTCCAGCACTGCTTATTTGTGGTAATTTCATTAATTTATTAATTATCAGGATTTATTTTTGTGATTATTGTAAACTTGCAGGGAGAAAATTGAACAGAAATACTAATGGTATAACTTTTCAATTTTATTTCTTTTTCTGACTTTAATGACTCGCAGAGAACTGTTGTACCTGGGAACGCTGTGGGACACTGGGTAGGAGAACAGATGCCTGAAGAAATTTTTATCACTACCCATACATATCGGGGCATTTTCCACTTGAAATCACTGTCAGTATCTGAGTCTGTAATGGATTTCAAGATGTGTCTGACTGTCCACTTTTGCTGATGAAAATACTTGTCTACAGTGATTCTGGGGAGGACAAAATGTGGTGGTAGGAGGCAGAAAAGGAATGAGTAGTGTCTGAAAACATAAGGTATCATGTTAAAATTTCAGTTTTGCTCTGGAGAAAGTATTTTTGAAAAACCATTGACCAGGTATCCTTATGGGCAGAGGCAGGGTTAGTCTGACACTTTTGGACATGAATTCTATACCGTAAAATCACAGGATAGCTGAGGTTGGAAGAGACCTCTGGAGGTCATCCTGTCCAACCCACCTTCTCAGGCTGGGTCACCTAGGGCCAGTTGTTTAGATGCATTTTGAATATCTCCAGGGATGGGGACTCTAGAACCTCTGTGGGTAAGAGATAGATGTGCTAGTGCTAGAGTGAAAAGTGTTTCCTTCTGTTGAGAGGGAATCTCCTGTACTTCAGTTTGTGCCTATTGCCTCTGATCCTGTCACTGGACACTGCTGAAAAGAGCCTGATTCCATTCTCTTTGCACCCTTGCTCCAGGTATTTGTATTTACTAATATGATCCCCTCCCGAACTTTTTCTTCTCTAGGCTAAACAGTTCAAGCTCTCTGTCTGTCCTCATGTGAGAGATACTTCAGTCTCTTCACCATCTTTTTGGCCTTTTGCTGGACTGTCTCCAGTATGTCCACGTCTCTCTCAAACTGGGGAGCCCAAAAGTGGACACAGAATCCTAGGTTTGACCTCATCAGTGCTGAATAAAGGGAAGGATCTCATTGTTCTTCATTAGGATTTGGTGGTCTTGTGTCTAAGGGTTTGACTTGGAGTTTATATTTTTTTTGCATGAATTTTGGAACATTATGTAATGGTATTAGGCTCCAATCAAAAGAAAGGGATTCCCATGCTAGGAGGCACTAAAGATTCAGCTAGTGTAATATTGTGTATTGGCAGTGCCCAGCAATGAATATCTGAGAACACACGTAAGAAGAGGGTTATGCACAGACTAATTCCGATACAGGTATTTTAGTGGCTTCCTGAGGCAATGTCTGCATGCATATTGCTGCATTTATTTCATGGCCAATAGGAATCTAATTGCCATCACTATTTTCAGTCCCATTTTAAACCTGTTTATATTTTTGGCTTTAGAACTTGGTGAAAATGAATTCTACAATTTAATTATCTGCTGTATCGAGGAGTTGTCACCCTTTGTTTGCTTTAAACCTACTCCCTGATATTTTCATTGGGAAGTGCTAGTCTTGTGTTATGTAATTCCTTATATACTTTGTCTATACTATGTATAACATTCACACATTTCTATTACATTCTGTGCAGTCTATTATATTTCATTCATTTATCCCTTCAAGCTGCAGAGTCAGCTTCTGTGAAAGGCACTCTGTGCTTTTGGCCATCCTTATTGCCTTATCTCCTTTAAAAACTCTAATAGATCTTTCTGAATTGAGGGTGATCAGTGTTCCTCACAGTATCAGATATGAGAGTTCTGTGAATTTATACAGTGGTTTAGGAAAGAAAGTTTCTAAAGTTTGCTGCTTAAAGATAACCAACTATTGAAAAGATTGAAAAGTTTTTTTCCCTTTTCCCGTGAACATTTTTGTTTATTTTCAGGCTGGAAGTTTAGTTACTCGTTAAGAACTGTAAGAGAGAGATCATTGACGTTGACAGCAGAAATTGAGCCTCTTTTCTTGTTTTGATAGTTATAAGCACATTATTAATAAATGGTAGAATGTTTATATCAATACAATAGTAGAATGTCAATATCAAAAGTCATTAAGCATAATGCTTTTTGTGTCTAAACTATTTCAAAATAAATAGAACAAAATATTTCATCACCTTTTTTGTTCTTTCACTAGACTAATTCTAGGAGAGATCAAAAAATGCATTGCTTAGCACAACATTGGGATTTTTGCTGCTAAAAATGTCTTTTCAATAAATAAATATTTACATGTGTTTCTGGAAGTTATGTTGTCACTACAAGGAAATGAAGATCAAAAATTATTGTAAAATGATACCAAGTAAAACCTTTTTCCATTTTTTGTAAACTACATTATTTTTTCTATTGGTAGACCACACCTGCAAAACAGTAAAATTTTCAATAAAATACCTTTTCCTGTAGTCTTGAAGAGATAGATTTTTAAAAAAATTGAATTCCATAAGCAACGGTAAATGAAAGGAATCATCTTTCAAAAATGCTTGATTTTTACATTTTTACTCCTTTGCTATTTGAAATGTCAAGTAATACCAAGTTTTCACAGTAGTCTCTGTGATCACACACAGTTTTGTTAACATTCTCTGTTCTGTTGG